CGCTCTCTCTTTCTTTAAAATAGTGGGGTTATAGGGCCCTCACAAATCTTGTTTTTTCCAAACCATTCAGAAAAATACTTTGAAGTGCGTGGGTTTACCTTCCTACCTTCACTTGGTAAAATTCCTCCCCCCCCCCCCGGACGGAAACCCTGGGACCGCCACTGAAATTCAGGTACCAATCGATGCTTCCTTCTCTTTCTGAAAATTCTTCTATCTTTGCGAGTTCTCAGCCCTTTATGTCTCAGTGGTTGGACAAATTATAATATGAACTGGAGGAGGCCGGTGCTATAGAGTGCAGCACCTCCACTCTTCAGTTAGAGCTTGAACTTGTTGTTGATTTTTAGTCGTTGCGTCCTGCTTCTAGTGCTTTGAACGTTCGTAATCAAAACTGATGATTTTTTGGACGTTGTGCGATGTTTCATACTGCTTCTCAGGTAAGCTTGGAGAAGAAACTATTCACATGGGGAATTTGTAGAAAATTTGGTGAAGCAATTTTTAGCACGTATTGCCAGCCAATAAAGAAGTTACGAGCAAAAATTCTTAGCCTTTATTGTTTCTTCATAATACCTGAGATTAGAATTACAGAAACGAGCATAGCAGCATGTAGCATCCTTTGACAACAACGATTCGTCAGACCTTACTACGAACGTTGTTGTCACACTGCAAACAGCAAAAAGGAAGAAACAGAGAGAAAATTTTTAGGCTTAAAGTAAGAGCCAAGGGTGCCGCGCTTTACTGCAATTGATCTGCTCTAATTCATATTCGAGTGGGCCCTAACGGGAAGAGAATATCTGTGCAAGCGAAGGCAGACATTGCCGTATTGCTCATTTTCACGAGTATATACTCTAAATTTCAGAATCTTCTTACTTTGAAGCGGTAATCGCTCATCTATATTGTAAGATCAATGGTAGCGATAAATTAGTTTTGGAACCTTGAGATGTGGAAAATCTGCAGTGCCTGATGCAATCATGTGTTTTGCAATAATTACTCAGCAAATTTCAAAAAGCCCAGCTAAAGAAAGACAAAAAATTGCTTCAATTCAGAGAAGGTTTATCCTGTTTGCTGTTTCAAGAGCTCCTTTCAAAGACTCAAACAAAAATATTGGAAATTAGCAAAATTCAGACAATTTAAAAATGAAGCGTTATAAACTCCTGTATTTATTCTACAAAATTTTCTAGATTCTTGAAACAGAAGAAATTCTGCGTTAGACATGCTCATTGTGTTTGTTTATTTTTACTGCACAGATTTACGGAAAGTGACAAAACCTTTCCACCCACGGTAAAGTGTTAGCGCCAAATTCCACCAAAAATCTAAAATGCATTCTTCACGCATCGTTTTCGTCCGATTGCTTTCAATTTTTATCTTAATCATTGTCTCAAAATCAATCCCTTCAACTTCCATACGATTCACACCTCTAAGAAAATATATATTCCACTTTCTCTCCATGTTGTGTGCATTTCTTCCACTCCAAATTTTTTGCGCTTTGTATAAAGCTTGAAGCCATTCTCACCATATTCCTTTCAGACTATATACATCATAAGATCCCAAGAACGGTTTTCTCAACATTTTCTTGGAAGTTTATGTCATAATTAGGACAACTCGAACTTTTTCGAGCATTGGACTGTCAACTGAGTTCGACATTCGAAAGTCAAAGGCGAATATTATATTCAGTTCACATTCAGCTGTCTTATTCAAATAATTGAAAAATTACTCGATTTTTATGAAGATGTAACTGTACACAAAGCACACATCGGCTACCTCAGCTCATTGCGGTTCGAAACTGTGGATTTGAGTATTTTTGCAGGGGCTTAAAGGCAGCGGCTCGGCAAAATGTCAACTTTGGGATGTTCATCGTTCTCGGTTCCTCTGATGAGCTAAGTCCAAGACTGTTCTTTGCAGCTTCAAAAGATATCAATAGCTCGCTTTTCGAGACGTGAAAAGTGCTATTTGGGCGGACCGCATATGTGCCCTCTAGCGCGATACGCGGTCCGCCTGAATAGCACTTTTAAAGTCGTACTTCTAAACTCGTACTGATCGGATGTGCAGAGAGCATGCGGTCGATAACTGTTATGAAACGGGTTTTCGATAGGGTAGGAATTATTGAGCTGTGCAACTAACTGCTTTTTCTTCTTTACTTAACAATGTTTCTGTCTTTGGTGTAATTCTTCTTAAACTTGAACTAATCTTTTATGCTTCTGTGATTATGTTAGCTTGTCGGCTCGTGAGTAGAGATACTGTACCCACAGTACCCACGAACAATCGCTCTTTAAAGGGCAAATACGCGGTTCGCCCAAATAGCACTTTTCACGTATGGAAAAACGGGCTATTGATATCTTTTGAAGCTGCAGCATAGTGTTGTACTTAACTCATCCAGGGGAACCGAGATCGATGAATATCCCAAAGTTGACATTCTGCCGAGCCGCTGCCTTTACGCTGGGTTCATACTGAGCCGCACAAAGCGGCACAGTTCTAGCACAGCGCTCAAATTGTGCGCTGTGCTGGAACTGTACCGCTTTGTGCGGCTCAGTATGAACCCAGCCTTAGGCTGCGTTACTAATCCCGAAGTTCGGGAACAGTTTCAGCACAGCGCGCAGTTCGAGCGCTGTGGTGGAACTGTTCCCGAACTTCGGGATCAGTATGAACGCATCCTTAAGGTTCATAATCGCTTGCAGTGAATTTGCACTTCGACAATATAAAAGTTTTCATAGGTAAGTGGTTTCTACTGATATTCTATGAGGAACTATTGCTTTAACATCTGCCATAATTAGAAATCGAAAGAAGCTCGTCAAACAAGAAAAGCTCATTTTTTGCAAAACGCATCGATAATCACTTTGGTTTGTAAATTACATTACAAGCAGTGTACAACGCAAGCGCATTCTTTCGTGCTTAAACATCTTGACATGCACCTCCCATCGGAGGACCATGCTCGCTTAATAACTTCAACTTAAGCTTGTTTAGTTTGCCTCTAATCGGAAATGTTGCTCTTATCATATCGAAATTTGAGAGCTTTAGCAAATGATATCTTGTCTATGTGTCATATACTAGGCTGTAAACTATGTTTTACAACCGCCTTTATAAATTTTCTCTCTTTTTAAATGACCCACTTAATTTTTGCCATTATGTAGGCTATGACGTAAACTATAGACGCAGCTACAGTTCTGCCAACGGTATGAGGAAAAATTGTAGATTAGCATAACTTCTCTGGTTGGCGAAGGGAGTTTCAAGCACGCTGACCATGAAAACGGCTGCATTTGCATAATAGGGGTATTTTTGTAGACTACCGGAAATTTATGGTATGGGGTCTCACCCTAAACAAGAAAAGAGGCGTTAATTCAACAAATGAACCTGACATTAGTGATCAGCAGGTTGAACCTCACCATGTAAGTTTTGGCGAATTTCGGAATTCCCATTCCTTATCACTGACGCTTGTCTTTAAGCTGAATTGCCTACAGCGAGTCGTTCAACCTTGTGAGGGCGCCAGATCTCGACTTGCCCTCAAGCACCACCTTTTTATCGAGCTAGATAAGCCAATTCTCAGCAACTATTTATGCACAATTTCGGATTGGTGTGCGCGATTAAGGTCGAGAACGGCTTCATTTTGGCTTATAACCTCATGAACCTTTGATTTTTAGTAGTTTTCAAAGAACTATCGAGTGCTTGCTATTTTTTCATCAAAATGCGAGCGATTGTGCCAGTAGCCACAATACAATCTGACAATCTACATAAAATCAAAGAATGGGTGCGCCAAAAACAGAAAGCGAGAAGTTTTAGACTCATTTGCAAAACTTAGTTAACAACCTATTATAATGTATGCTATTTTCTTGGTTTTCAATTTACAAAAGCTTGTATTCCTACGTTCTAAGATAATAAATCCATAATGCTATTGCATCGAGAGAAATGGACGAAAATGCGCAGTTTCAAGCGCTAAGAACTTGTAGAACAAATCTACACTCATAGGAGCAATATTAGGGGTAAGATCCTTATTTTTCAAGAGGATTAAAGCAACAAAGTGTTGCTCATTGTGGATTTAATGTAATTTAATCGTGTTCGACACTTTTATTTCTTCCACATTGCACTTTTACCTTCTATAAGCTAGTTCTTCTTTTTGTTGTTCTTCTTGTTGTTCTTCTGCTTGTTCTTCTTATTCTTCTGCTTCTTACTCTTCTTCTTATTATTCTTCTTCTTGTTTTTGGAGTTACTAGACGCTGGTTTTGTCACTGTTGGTTTTGGTACTGGTTGAGGCACCACTGTCGTTGTTACTGGCACTTCTGACGGTCCTTGAGGCACCACTGTCGTGGTTATTTGTACTTTTGATGACTCTTGGGGCAACACTGTCGTTGTTACTGGTACTTCTGGTGACCCTTGGGGCACCGTTGCTGTTTGTTCTGGTGCTTTTGATGACTCCTCATCCACGCAAAGATTGTTTGAGCAACCACGAGGACACTTTGAGCATGGAGTTCCTGCTTCGTACAACTTACTGCCCATCATATTGCCGCTGAAATTTATTGCTGTTTCAATGTGCTAACCAAGCATTTTCACTCACGCTGGATTATAATTGCAGACAACGAGGGACATGGTAGGACAGTCTTGTACCGCACAACCAATGGCTTTCGTAGACTGCCACACCATCTGGAGCAAGAGGTATCAGTGCAAATTCGGATCGTTTTTAGAGGCTATTACGCTCACATATGAACAACTGCTGGCTGAAAGAATGCAGTGAACAAACCTGTGTGTAGTGGCCAACTCCTTTACTCCATAATGTTTGATCCAATACAAGGTTAGTGCCTACACCGAACTTTTTGAGCTCGCTGAACCACGCTCTTGAAGACTAGACAAGCTGGTCTTTGTTTCAGGAAAAGTTTGTTATACTACTTACATCTTCGGCGGCCTTAACTTTATCGTAAACAGGACTTCTCATGTAAATGTTCTCTCCATTGTATGCTCTTGATGCGCCGTCCGAATGTTGAAACTGGCATTTAGCGGCATGAGCGATTGCGTACTTTTCGACTTCGCAGTCATACGTCTACAATACCAGTTGTTTCAGTTTGCGATTCTGTTTCCAGTTGGTAAACAACAATACCAGCTCAGGCATGGCCGCAGCTTGTGGCGCATTACCTCCAGCACCGTCTTCAGCTTTTCCAGAGGCTACCAACCGCCTGTAAGGTAAGCGTTCAATGATAGATGAATGATCAACAATTAGCAGTGGCGTATCGAGAAGGAAGCGGAGAAGGGGGCGTCCCCCCTCCCATGAAAATGGGTCGCTAAGTTTTTGAAAGTTACTTACCTGTGTTATAAAAATATGCAATTAACTTGTTTTTAATCGTAGATAGTTGAATTAACTTTGAATTAGCCCTTCAAAAACATTTTTCGGTGACGTGGCTACCGCCACGCTCCCTTTTCCTAAATTTTGAGGTTAGAAGCCTACGAAAATATTGGGAAACGGTCCACTTTTCGGGGTTTCAAAATCGAAAAAACCTTCCCGAAAAAAGTTTTTTATCCTTTTTCTCTCCCCCCCCCCCCCCCCCGAAGGATATTCTGGGTACACCACTCCTATTGATATAAAGCGCTAAAGACGTCTGCCATTTTTTGCATTTGTGTATTCGGGTGCCACGACTTGGCAGAATATTTCGTACTAGCAATTACGTCTACCATGCACAGAACACTGTCCGTTACGCGAACCCTTTAAAAATTGGAACAAAAAATTCGGAACGTGTACACGCGGTTTTGGTCACCAAAACTGGAGCTTTATTTAGACTTCTTATAAAGTCATAAATCTGCTTAACAAACAGATCTTAACGCCATTGGTTTGAGCCGAAATTTTTGAGAAAGGGCCGAAATTTAGTTGCATAGATCGTCGATTTGTCAAGACTTCACCTAAGAAATTGAAAAGATTTCTGCTCAAAGACGTAGTCTACGGTGGTAGTTGTTCTCATGGCAAATAGCAAGTTAAGAAAGAATTGTGTAGCTTATTTAGCAAATTTATCCTTTTGCAAAAAGTTTCCCCTCCAAGATTACGTCTTTTACATGGACAAAATTTATTTGCGATGTTTAGCATGGCGCTGTAAATTTGAAAGTCATTATAGGATGAGTAAGGCATACGAAGTAAACCAATACGAAACTTTGCAAAGTATTGGTAAAGCACTGCTGAATGACAGCCGAGGAATGCAATCAAGTGAAGAATTGCGAATCTTTTTGATACAGCTTACCTCAACTCATTATGAACATCCAAGAATTTTTGACGTATAGTATCATTCATGCCATTATTTGCTGGGCAAATGGCTAGAAAAATTCAGTTTTTTTTTTCAGCTACGGTTCGTAAGATGCATACCTGCCGACGCAGTGACCACCGAAAGCTTAAGAAATCCTTTAACTTTTACATAGAAAAAAAAATGTAAAGAGACACTTACCACTACGAGGAGATACATTTAGTAGTGTGAAACTTAAAGACCAAATCTCCTTTAAATATTGGCTTCTAGACATACATCCCCACTTTTCCGGACAGCATCGAAGCTGTGCCATCTCAAATGTGAACCTTTACAAAGAAACAATAGAGTTTCTGGTGACACAGCTGTTTCTTTTTATTGAAAAACAAAGACTGAGAGAAACGAAACAAAATAAATATTAGTTCAATAGCAGTAAACGACTTATTGACACAAACTTTTTTTATACCTCAGCTCAAATTTGCGAATCTGTGAACCTTAGCAACTCTAGGTCAAATCGAAAACAATACAAAATTTCGTGAAGCATGTCCATACCAGTTTTTTCACGTTCGCCATATTTGTGTTACCTTAGGCCCACACGCAGATTTTGAAACCCCGTATCTTTATGCTCTATTACCTTCGTTTTGGATGTTTCATTTTTTGAAATGGATCTTCGTCGTTCATCTATTTGACTCCAGATTTTGGGCGTCAACATAGCCTCCTTTTATACATTGTCAGCATTTAAGGGAAAAATTATTTACGCGATGCAGTGTTGGGCACCAATTCAACTCCTACGTGTGTATACGGATTCTGTTTCAGCTCTAACAAAATGCCAAGCGATTTCAAGCAGAAAAATCGTAAAGGAGATAACGAATGGCGGGTATGATGTGGCAGGTTATTCTTCCTTAACCGAGCCCAGTTCTTTGAAGAATTCTCTTAAAATACCTGGTTTAGTTTAAAAAGGGTTGTTATAGTTTTTATGAGGACTTTCTACTTGCGAGGTGGCAAGCAAAAAATCAAAAGTTTTGATTCAATTTTACATGTTTCTTTTTCAAAACGCTTCCGGTGAGGAACAAGAATGAGGTGACTCAAAGCTGTTCAGCTGTGTTTTAAAAACAACAGTCAGTTTAATTAGAACATCATAATTGCCTTCAATTATAATTCAGAGTACTTCTTTCATTAAACTGTCACCATGCGAATTTAGCAAGGAAAGTATAGAGTGGCATGTTTTTGACGTGTTCAATTCTTCTCGGCACGTGGCAGGAAACACCAGGGCCCGACACGAGGTAGGCAAATGCCAAGCTGAAATCGTTATGGATGGAAAGCAAAGGGAATGTCGTAAACATACGTTTGCACGTAGATACATATATTTTCTCGACAAGTTGTTACACGACTGACATACAAAAACACAACCTTGCTCGCGCGTCTTCTTCAAAAAATCAAATCTCTTTCATTGAGCTGCGATTGAAGGTCTCGGATACAGCGCACACATAACGACATGGCTCTGTTTTTGGAGTATAAACGGACATAAACGAGGAGGAGCATAGTGCAGAGTATTTGGAAAAATTATACTACTGAAGGTCGTGGCGATTTTCTCTAAAAATTCAATGCAATAAATAAACAATACCGTGAAATATTTCGGTTGATTCAAAACCAATGCACGTTTTCGTCAACTCTTCTTTCAAGCGCTGATTATTTGAGAAGAGTGATTCTTTCCAAAAACTTTCGATATTCTCTGAAAGTGCGTTTCTTCTAGTTTCTTGTAAATGCTTTCCTTTTAGTTGCGCCCTGTATGAAAAGTCTTACGCTTTCGAATACAAGGCGAGAATTTCTTTTCTATTCCTTTTGCTCTAATTCCATAAGAATAAACCATGCTGATTTCGAAAAGCATGCTTAACAGAAACTTTCTACTATAAAATTTTTTCTAGAGCAGAATTTTGCAAAAGTTCTGAAACGAGAAATTTAAGCAAAACTGGACCGGTCACTGTGGTTCTCCAACGTCGAGTAAAATTCAAGGAAGAACCATTGCTGCGATTTTGCATTGTACGCAAAGAATACCCCACAATGGTCGGGCGCCTGTGGCGTGAGGGTGACACTGGGTGTCGAACTGCGATGCATGGTCGAGTGTATACTCTGGTAGGGCCTCCCAAGCTGTGAAGGAGCTCGACGTTTCCGGTTTCGGCCGTATGCCTAGCCAAGAGCTGGCCAGGCCAGAACCACCGCCGTCTGACTTTTTCCGGTCACTAGGCGGTCCTTCCCGCTCCAAGCCCGGGATCAGCGACCGCCCCGTGGAAGTCAAGAGTAGGCATAGTAATTCTGCTTTTCTAGGGAACAAATTTTATTACTCAGTCAGCAAGAAGATATAGAAAAAACCCTGTACATCGTATCCCGCCTACGGCGCCGGGTGATAGCAAAAACGATGTCAGGGTACTCAAGGCGCCTTTCGGATTGGACAAAAACGACACGTCTGCCCGGACGCACGCCATGGAGACTGCCTCAAACTCTGCACCTACAACCCAAGACAGTCTCCATAAACGCCGACCTCCATGCTTTTCTCGACGCTGCACAGCACATCAAATACCACGTCATCGCCTTGCAAACGAAGTCCAGGAAGAAGGACGTGCGACAGATGAGTGGTGGAACCCTCATCATTCGCGGTGAAAAGGTTCCATCACGAAACGTTGGAGACGTTGGCTTTGTCGTCCACCCATCAATCGTCCATCTTGTCGATTCGCATGAGATCCTGTCACCTCGACTAGCCATCCTACGACTACGACCTCCACGTCAGAAGACCATTAACACCATCAACTGCTATTCGCCAACAGCTGACGACTCAGAACTAGATGCTTTTTACGAAGACGTGGAACAGGTCGTCCGCAATGAGAAGTCCTTCTACAAGTTCGTTTTGGGCAACTTCAACGCGAAGATCGAAATGCCACTAGAAGAGGAATATAGGATCGGGAAGTTTGTATATGGGCTCCGGAACAAACGGCAACCGTATCGTTGGGCTTCTCTCCGCCGCACGACTTTTCCATAGAAATTCCATCCTCATGAAGAAAGAACGTTGCCGGTGGAGGGAATCGCCCAACGGAACGACTCCCGCGGAGGTCGACTACATTCTCACCAACCGAAGGTGGAGCTTGCTCGACGTCATGATAATTCCATCCTTCTGCAGTGGTTCCGATCACCGTCTCCTTCGAGCGAAGACACGATTTAGTCGAAAGCTGGGAAAGAAAGTCAGTCACGGTTCTGCAAAAAGGAAGGAAGTCGTTACGGCAACAGGTTAGAAGAGCTCATATCAAGTTGTGACTGGCCTATCGAGGAGAACCCATTGTACGACTACGACCGGCTTTTGAAGGGATTGCGAGCTTGCGGAGACTGCGCCTCAGTGATTTCTAAGAAGAACTTGGACCGCATTTCGAAGACCACCAAGGAATTGCTCGAAAGAAGAGGATTTTTGAGGCAGGATCCGAATGCAACCCATCTCGAGCGACTGATAGCCAACACCAGTTGCAGAACAGCTTTGCAAGAGGATCTCAGGAAGTACAAGCAAGCCAAGATACTGGAAGCAGCCGAAAGAAGACGAAGTCTCAAGTGCCGAAGAAACCTCTGCGAATATCACGTACCGCTGGCTGCACTATTAAACGAAGACGGGACTCCGACTTCTTCTCTATATAAGGTGAAATATATCGCGAAGAAACTTCTAACCCAACCTCTTCCGCTCATCAACACCCGTGCTGATGTCCGCTGTTCCCACTGGAAATGTACCACCAAAGATTCTATCTGCTGAAGTGCGTATCGAGACCATGAAGACGTCCACGGCTCCAGGACCAGACCATCTTCCCGTCGAATTTCTGCGAGCCGGAGGACAACGTCTACACGAGGTTGTAGCTTCGCATTTGACATCTTACCTTCAGAAGGAGAAGATTCCCGACCAGTGGAGAACATCGAGAACCGTCCTTCTCTTTAAGAACAGCGAACGGGAGGATCTTCGTAACTACCATCCAATATGCCTGCTGAGTGTGCTGTACAAGCTTTTCACGAAGATTATCCTCGCTCGCATATCTAGGACACTGGATGAAGACCAACCCCAAGAACAAGCTGGATTTCGCAAAGGATTCAGCTGCATGGACCACGTCCAGACGGTTTCGAGGGTTATAGAAGTCTGCCGGGAATACCGACTGCCTCTCGTCCTAACCTTTGTCGACAATGAGAAAGCCTTTGATAGCGTCGAAACCAACGCCATCCTGTCTGCGCTAGTCGATCAAGGAGTGGACCCAGCTTACGTGAGGACGTTAGCCGACTGCTACAAGGACTGTACAACGACGATGCAGCTATTCCATCGCCTGACCATACCAATCGTGAAGGGGGCCGACAAGGCGACACATTCCGCCAAAGCTGTTCACCGCGGCCTTGCAGTGGGTAATGAATTCACTGGACTGGGACGAGAGAGACATACGAGTTGATGGGAGATTCTTGTCCGTTCTTTTTTGTTTTGCGGACGACATCGTTCTCTTCTCAGCAGTATCACTGAGGCAGAGACGATGCTGAAGAAACTAAGGACCGTATGCACGTACATCCCAGCGGGGAGGGGATGTGGGTTTTACCATTGGAATGAGCCCTGCTGGGACTCCCCTACCCTCCCCACGCGAGCGCTCGTATGCATGCGAAAAACATCTGAGAAGAGATCTCCTGCGGAATGGGAAGCGAACCTTATGCACAAGAGGGGATCGAGCGGGGAAAACCTTGTTTCCGCTTTTCTTTGATGATTACTTCTCTATTCTCATCTTTTGGCAGTAATTTATCTTCAGTTCGTCGCCAGCAATTTCGGCGTTGCACATTGCGTGTCTGTCATGACTGAGGTCGGCGCACCAGAAGTGATATTTTTTACGCCCAATATGACATATTTTTGCTGTTATTACGGATTCTGTACACATTGTGCCCATTCAAGCGCCGATTGCATTAAACTTTCCTCGCTGCCTTCGATGTACGCCGTTGTTGCCGAGAATGGGGGAGTGGGACCGCGCGAACAATCAAAGCAGCACTTCTATACCTAACAGTAGTTGCAAATAATGCCAAGTCTCCATGAAAGTTGTGGGTATTGACAGCTTTTTGAATCCATTACCCCAAAAGAATGATCCCCACCGGTTATCCCTGCTAAGCACGAGGTGAACACTGAGGAAGGGATCATTCAGAAATTGACAAATCTGCTATTTTGGGGTTTT